AGAGGGTTAACTACTTGAGTTTCTTTGGTAGACATATCACTGTGTGTCACAGACACTTTACATTTGTGATTTCATAATCTTGAGGGTTGAAGAAGAGCTAAAGGCAAGAATTTGTCTCATAAGGAGGATCAAAACCATAATGATTCTATTCCTATCTGTGGTATTTAGGAAGTACTGTTAGCTAGATTTCATTTTTCTCCCTACTCAGTGAATAGGTGAAGCACAGAAACACTTGGGGAGATGAGGAGAGCTATAGTCCTGTGTGACTGAAATCTCTCACTTTTTGCCAGGTGGAGAATTAGAGCCTATTTAAAACAGAGCCATAGTATTATCAGGTCATATTATATGATTATTGATACAAGATTTGTTTGTTTGATGGAAAATAGGAACAAAGAGCAAAGGAACTCAACATATGCACCAGTCACCACAAGGTTTTCTTTGAAGAGAAGTAAACAAAAATTGCCAATTTGAAAGTTTAAGTGTGAATCCTGTAGAGGGGAATGTAGTGTAATCCATAATGGGAAACAGTTTGAAAATAGGCTATGCTAGCTGGAAAAGGGAAAAATCTCTAATGAGTAGGGTTGCACTGGAGGGTCAGTATTTTTTAACATATTATTCCCTCCACAGGCTTAGTTAATCAGCAGTGTGTTTCACATAACAGAACCCTGGACTCCCTTCTTGGTTGTTGATATTGCACTTGTGTACACTCAGAGGATGTCAATGATGACAGCTGGTTATTTCTTCTGTGCAGAGATTTTGATTATGTCTTGCTTTATGGTTAGTATCAAGTTTTCACAAGGAATGTTTTCCCACCCAGAAGACAACAAATGTTGGACTGCCCTGGTAATTGTTCTTTCCTATACTTCCTTTGGGCTCTTGTTCAGCTTGTTGGATCTGAGTTGTTTTTGAACAGAATTAGGCCATCATAAATCACTCTGGGTTAGTTCACATGTGACATCACCAAGGAGACCCAATGCGACCATTGGAATACATTTTTGAACAATCTATCTGTAGCAATGTTAATTACTTTATCATGAAATAAAGTCAGTAAACAGTAGTCATTACAGTGCAACAAGTTAAAATACATTACATCGTGATATATCAATTCAGCAAATTAGATTTTCATAGTGCTAATTGAATTTATCACAAAGGTGATAAATATTAGTTGAAGAAAAAGCAATATATTTTATTTTATTGGCCACATCTCAGAGTACTTGTAATTTAGTAGGGCCACCACACTTTCTGGGCAGGCTATCAAGTAGGATGTTGTAATGATTTGCATGACTACTATAGTAGATGGAAAAAATATAGCTTGTGTTTGTAGCCATTCCATTAGTGTCTTGCACAGTGTGTGCTCCTCTGGTGCTCTTCAGAGAGCCATGTAATCTTTTGAAGAGTTCTTTCTGGTGAAATCAAGTAATTATATACCATTTAAAACCGACTGCGTAATTAAATGATGAGACAAAGGAAAGACTGAGAAAGGTAGATAACCAATAGAATCCTGAAGTTATCAAAACAGATCACTTGCCAAAGACCTTGGAATTCATCTGATTCAGTTGCTGGAAGAATGCCTGAATTAAAAATTATCCTATGAGGACCGAGAAAATAGAGCCAAATTCTGGCAATGTACACTTTTCTCCCAAAGTGGACATTAATGCTACAAAAACAGAATAGGGTGAACAAGCCTGGCCCTGTGCTTGGCCCCCTACTGTAGGCCATGTCTGCCAAAACAAGATGGAAGAGATCAAAAACTTGGAAGGGGTCAGGAGGGATAAAACAGGGAGTGAGGGGAGGAAAAGTTGGAAAAGGAGGGTATTTGGAAAGGAGAAAACTTGTAGGCTATGCCCCCTGCCAGCACTGAAACACTCGATTTCAGCTCCACTTGTAAAGCACCTGTTGGCATCTGTGGAATATTTTATAGGTTTTGGGACAGAATCAGGACAGAAAGCTTACAGACTGTGTTCCCTTACATGACGTGTGATTTGTTCTTATTTTAGTAAAATAGAAGCCATTCCTGGGTGATAATTATGGCAATAAATATACCTGTTCAGAAATAACAACTACAACTCTTGCTTTCCAGAAAAAAATATTTAAAATATTGAATTACATGGTTTTGAATGACTGTCCTTACTACTAATATTAATACTATATGGTTGATCCGATGTACATTTTCTTCCTTTTTTCCAAAACTGAAATGTTGCATGGAGAAGAGAGAAAATATGACAAAACAAGGGTCAAATAATAGTTTGATACTCTTTCAAATAGAATGGCAAATAGCTAGGTGAAAGAGGTTATCTGTCCAGTTTTATGTTTTGCAAGCTTTATATATGAATGTAACAATATAAAAGTGGGAAAATTGTTTATGTTAATTGGAACTCTCATCAAGTATTTTATGCAAAGAATTAAATTTAAACATTTTAATATCTTTGCAAACTTTTGCGTAAACTCCTGCTCAAATGCATTCAATTGAGAATGTTAGAATTACAGCTTATGCCCTCCTGTGACTAATTCAAAAAAATTACACACATATTGCATATATTGGCTAACTTTCCTTTAACTATAATGAGGATTTTCCCTTTGCTAATGCTTTGGTTCAATGGAAAAGGGCTTATTTAGATAAGAACGTGTATTACTCAGGAAGTTTGGATAAAGTTGAAATAGAAAATAGATAATGTTTTGAAATTTAATCCTTTCTTAACATGAACTTCAAAATAGTAATAATAAAATAAAACTGTTTTCCTATTATACTTGAACTACTACCTTTAGTAGTTCTAAAATGGAAACTGTAAGCCTCATTTAGATTTATAATCAGTAATGAAAAAAGCAACTCAATTTCTGATACTGCAGTGTTCGCTGCCCAGGCAGAGCCTGACTCCTGAATGAAGCCCAACAAGACTCTTTTTGCATCAAGTCTGCTGCAGAACAGGGCCAAAATGCAAATTTCATTGCTTCAGTAGTAATAGTTGGTGGGGGGAGAGTGGGGGGAGGCATTTCAAATTTCATGATATTTTCACTTCTGTGTGAAGTGAAAGTAATTCAAGAGCCTACCATGTAATAAATTGTATTAAGTTTTAGAGACTGTTAACTTTAGTAAACCCAGCCATATTCTGTGCCATTAAAATAAGAGGATAGGATCTGTACCAAGACAGTGGCATATGAATGAGGAGAGCACCTAGTGGAACTTTAACATGGGCTTCTGTTAGTCTCTCTGGTATGTGTAAAGAAAGGTCTTTGGAGATATTCTAACCTGAATAAGAATGTTTTCCTGAATCAAGTTCCATCTTTCCTATAAAGAGAGACTGAGAGTTGGGGTTGCTTAGCCTAGAGAAGAGAATGCTTCAGGGAGATGTTATAGAAGCATTCCAATACTTAAAGGGAATCTACAAGAAAGAGACTCTATCAGGGTGCGTAATGATAGGACAAGGGGTAATGTTTTTAAATTGAAAGAGAATAAGTTTAGATTAGATATTAGGAAGAAATTCGCATAAAGGTGTAGGGGCACTGGAACAAGTTGCCCAGAGTAGCTGTGGGTGCGACATCCTTGGAAGTGTTGAAGAACAAGTGCAATGGGGCTTTGAGCAACTTAGTCTAGCAGCAGGTGTCCCTGCCCATTGCAGGGGCACTGGAACTGAATGGTCTTTAATGTCCCTTCCAACCCAAACCAAATTCTGTGATTCTATAATTCTATGATGAAGATTTTTGGAAGTTTAGCCATGAGTCATGAAAATACACACTCTGTATTACAAGTGGTTTGTAATTATTCTTGCTAAAACAATGAATAAGTGAAACAGATGCTTTGAAACATTATGATCAATATGGTCTTCAGAAACAGTTTTTGCATTAAATTTCTTACTCTGGATAAAAAGTGACCATGGAAGCTTATTAGTCATAATAAGCTAGGGCACAGAAAATTCAAAGATATGGTCATCTAGTTTCTTGGATGTACAGATACAGTTTTTCTCAGTAGTTCAAAATCCTTTAAAATTTGTGCAGTTGTTTTTGTCACCTCTTTATATTGATAGATCTCAAAATGTATATTTTACTGTTATCTTGTCAAATACATGTTCTTCTTGTATGTTTTCTGTTTGAAGTGAGAGTGAAATATAAAATGGACAAGGATGTAGGCAAGCCTAGCAAATGTAAGAAAATGTAGAAAAGCTCATAAGCTCTCTGAACAAATGGAAGGTGGCATATGCCATGGAGCAGGAGCAAACTGTGGGTGATAAAATTCTGGACTTCTAATGAGGCGGCAGGTGGGTGGAAAACAGTAATGGAACCAATTTTAAAGCCAGTGGTGGCAGGTGCATAAGGGATTTTCCAGATCTCTTTTTTCCTCAACATTTTCCACTTGCTATCCACACCCTCCACTCCTGAACATGGAAAGTCCCCAGAATGTGAATTGGGGTGATGGGTGGTGAGACAGGAAGGGGAAAAGCCTGGACAGCTCATCAGTGTCAGCTCAAGAGTGGGACAGGATGAAGAACCAGCAAGGCCACAACCCAAATAACCAGCTCAAAAAACAGCTGTTATTTTAATACCAAGTTCATCTGAGCCCCCAGCACTGTGTTTCATAATAACAGTCAGTATCTTTAGGGATTAGTTTTGTACGACAAAGAAGCCAGTGCTAACCTGAACTGCCCTCCTTCACTACTTTCAGCAGTACTTAATATATTTATTTATGATGCCTGTCCAATATGCCTGGTGTTCTTAAGGCAGAAAACTAAGTAAAAACAATGAATAAAATTATCACATAGCCTATGTCCTCACTTTCCCCACTGCAGTAAACAACTATCACTGGATACACTGTCTAAAATCTCTGAAGGTTCCAATACACTACAGAAGAGTATGTTTAATATATGAGATATTTTAATGCTGTAACATCAAGGATACATTTAGGTTTTTACTTTACTTTTCAAACTTCAAAAACTATTGGAGTCAATGAAAATTAAACTACTGTTTGTACAAATGCTTATTAGGCCTTTTTTATTATTATTTTATAGGTCTTGTAGAAATTTGCCTGATGCATCCCCTTGATGTAGTGAAAACAAGGTAAGATTCTGCTTGAACATGTTTTGTTGACTCTGGTAGATATCCAGATTAGGAGCTGTCAAAAAATAAAATGCTAGAACTTCTCCAAGTAAGTTAACTTGTGCCTTTAATGGCATTTATATTTACTTACCTGTATCTGCAGCATTTGGCAGTTGGAATTTGAATAGCATAACACATTTCTGATTAGAGGTCATCTAAAGGTGTTAAATATGTTTTCTGACATGTATTTTTAACATTGTAACAAAATCCTTTTATATGAAGAGGGCTACAGTTAAATTCACTTACTATCTGTATCATCTGCAGCAATACTTCTTTAAGTGGGAAATGCCATATTGCCTCCAAAATCATTTTCACTGATTTATGAGAGCTGATATAAATGATAAAAATGGTGAAATGCAGTGTTCCATATTTGCTTTATAAGTTACGTAACTTTGCAATTTTATCTTTTGTCCCTATTTCCTTTTCTGACTATTAGTTTATTTGTGAGCATAAATGGTGAAGTGACCTGGAAAATTTGGTCAAATTATTTTTTCAATGTTTTTTATTGAAACTGAAAAATATCAGTTAATAATAGTTGTGTCCTTACCACTAAACTATGTCTCTAAGCACCACATCTATATGTCTTTTGAATACCTCCAGGGATGAAGACTCAACTGCTTACCTGGGCTGCCTGCTCAAATACTATATACCTAGACTTTTGTTTAGGTCTCACTTATCTAAGTGAAAGCATTTCACTGGGAAATGTATCAGATGCCTCTACAAATAGTGAGGAGATCAGTTGTGGTGTTTGGAATATGCTTTAAGTCAATGAGGACTTGATGTTCTAGTTTCAGTCAGCCAACGTAAGTTAGTTACAGATATATTTTAGCTTATGTTTAAATCACGTTCTGGGGTTTGCCTAAGGCCTTGAGATACTTTTCTGCATCTTGCTTTTTGCAGAAGGAGGCCATCTGTGGTCGTTACCCCAAAGCATAGGAGAGCAATGGAAGCTCCATCCACATTATACTGCTGCCTGGGTGCAGCAGGTACTCCTTGTTGCTTGGAGTTTGCTCTGAAGACTCTTCTGGATGCCTTCATAATATGGAATACATTGATTCACATAGAAACAATACACCCAGTAGTTTCAACTGGGTCTTCTGTGTGCCCCTCTGAGTACACTGAGACTTTTCAATTAAAATGTGATTTACATATAAAGACTGAAATTAAAGACACTGAAACAAGAGGGTACAAGCAAAACAGATACAAGACCAAACTTATAAGAAAAAAATCTGTCTTGCCTTTCTGTCTCTCCTGTAGTTCTCATAGGATATGCTTTAGTGTCATCATTTTGGCATGTTGTGCTGTAAGAATTCTTTAAATCTCAGGCTGAGTTACCCCTTTCTGTTTTCCTTTGTACTAAACTAGGTGTCGTGTTCTTCCATAGTATAAATGCAGCATCAGTGTTTTACTCCCCATGTCTTTGCTGCCTTTGAGGTTGTCATCCAACCTATCCTCATGCCTCCAGTCTTGGTTCAAATAACTTAATACTATCCTTACTACTATCCATGATTCAGAACATGCTGCATATCATATATCATAAAAACATTAGTTACGTGTGTTCTGATAAACTGGCAATTAACAGATATACTCTCAGCTTTCTGACAGAAACCAAACTTACAGTGTTAGGATGTTCAGAACGACAGATTTCCCCATTTTACTGCAGATTTTACTGTGGTTTTTTTGTTATACTGTATAGAAATATATAGATAGATATACACATTATATATATATGCATTATATATATATATATGTATTATATTTATATGCATTTTATATATATATAATGTATATATATAAAATTCTAATTACATCTGAGATCCAGAAGTGCATAGCATTGAAGAGTGTGAGAGGATGTTTGTGAAGCTTTCTCAATATTTAAAAAAATACATTATAAAAATTATAAAAATTATAAAAGTTATAAAAATTAAGAGCCCTTTAAACATGAAACCTTAGTCTGTACATAATGGAATTAAAGAAGAAAGAAGAAAAAAAAATGGAAGAACAATAGGTGTGTAAAAGAAATCAGATTACAGTTCATGGCAAAAACAATGGGCTGAATCAAGTAAGAAAGACATTAAGCAAATTTCTCTGCCATTGAGTTAACTGCAACTCTTTGCAGAATTGAGCTGTACCCAAGTAATAGCTTTTCTGTGTTCTGGTGGTGCAGATGTGTTCAGAGATATTATACGGATTTCAGTAATTCTGCTGATGTTAGTATTGGCTAGTAGATATAAATATTTACGTCTTGAAAGCCAGTGGCAAAACCAAGAATAAAGTATGTGATCTCATCCACCATTCAGTGTCATGTTCATGCCCCTTCCCTTTGTTTTGCAATGGTCCAAAGTTCTCAAAATTTGCTATAGCAGGTTAATTCGTGGCCACACACAGGTTCAAGTGAAGAGTTTTTAATTATTAACTTTGAATTTAGAATGGATTGTAATACATTTTCATTTACTTTATTCTTTGGTTTCAGTGTCTCTCAGCACTGCGGTGCACTCACTCTTTTCTAGCATTGAAGAAATGAGAGATAATCCCTCATTTCTTAATCACTTCCAGCTAATTCAGCTAATATAGGTTGCTGGGTTTTGGTTTGTTTTTTATTTATTTATTTATCTGTTTATTTTATTTATTTATTTTTATGACTAGGTGAAAGGATTTATAAAACCACTATTTGTCGCTTATTTTTTATGATGTTTTTTGAGTTTCCTGCTTTTTTTCTGTTAAGCATTTGTTTGGTGGAAAGTCCCATGGCTTTTTCAAATGAGTGCAATCTTATTTGATCTAAATTAGCATTCTGAAGTTTAGGGAGGATTCCAGAGGCTCACATCTAGTGGATTTGTAGCTCAGGATCATAGCTTGGTTGTTATAATTTTTTTGTGGGTGTATGTTTTTAATAAAAAATTGGAGAAATGAAAGTTCCTGTCAAAGATTATTTTGAAACCCTGGAAAATGGTTTGGCTCTTTTGTGACAACATTTTGCAATATCTTTCCTGTGTTTAGTAATTTTCTATTATTTTACAGTAACAATGCTTGACTTCTTTATTCATAACACATATCAGAAAAGGAATAACATACAGATATAAATGCATTTTTATAAACCACAGACAAGCAAAATGCTTAATAGACTGTTGTTTGTTTGTTTGTTTCTTAATAGGCATTGGAAAATAATTTTATTTTGTTATCTATCAGAACACCAAACATCACTGTTTTCAGAAATTCATGTAAGTGACCTGGCTAAATAGAGATAATTTATAATCCATTGTTTTAGCCCTATGAATCTCAATTCTTCTTTGAAATAAAGCTCTCTTCTCGATTAGAAAAGATATTGGTATAGTTTCTGATGAGACGCTATTCAAATATTTGTGCTATATTTGTTAGTCTCTCAATATGACAGAAACTTTTTGTTAGCTGTTTTATTTACCAGTTACCCTTAAGATTAATTTACTGATCTGTAGATTAAATAAATCTCCATTTTTGTCATCCTAATTATGAGCAAGTTTTACAGGACTTGGTAAGCATTTGTGTCTGCGTATGTACGAGCAGGGAGAGCAGTAGCAAGTAAGATCTCTCTGGTACAGACACAGTCAAGACACGGAAGGTTCGTTTTTTTAATTAAGAAGCCTATATGGTCTCTCTTTACTGGAAAGAGAATAGAAAAGTGTCTTAGTCTGGTTTTGCTTATTTTCAAACCCTTTTGTTTTCTTACATCTAATGTGGGCTGTAATGTCATTCATTAGACTTACAAAAGGATGATAAAAGGTATTCTAGATCATGATATGTAGGACAAAACATTGTCATACATATACATGTTACTTTAATATTAAAATTAGCAGAGTACTTTTCCACCTAGAGTTTATCATTTGGCCCTACTGGCATATGTTTTGGTTCAAGCAAACATACAAAATTCATAAATTAATAGCCTTTTACTGACAAAAAAAATTATACTTGTGCAATAGCTCACAGGAGCAGTTGCAGAGCAAAAGGGAGAGAATTACAGAAGTAGAGGGAAAGCTGATTCTGTTTGAGGGATCAATCAGGCAAACCTGACTGGAGGATGTCACTGTGACTTCAGGTTATGCCTTTATGTGTTCCCATAGCTTTGAACACCTTCAAGTTTTAGGCAGGAAAAAAAAAAAAAAAAAACTGACATAAAACTGACATTTTCAGGAGCCTACTAACTTCCAAACTACCTACACTGGCATATAATTTTCCTTGCTATTACATTTTATCATCTCTAAAATCCATGCAGCCAAGAGAGATACTGCAAAATTAGAATTTATAAATCCTATGACCAGAAATAAATTTTTTCTCAGGTTTAAACGTTGGTTACCTTTACGTGTGCCTCCTCTTTTTCATTAATCAACAATATTTATATATCTGAATTTTTGTCACTTCGCTGTTTGTGAAAATTTCAAAGTTGCTAGTGCAAGTATTCATAAATATTGTGAAGCATATATTGAAATGGAAATATTCATTTTGGATGTGGCTCAGTGTTCTTTAGTTAGGAAATGGAAACCATATTTTGTAACTCTTTTTAACAATTGTATCTACATGACAGAATATAATAGAAAACGCAGATGAAGAAATGTGTGATTAAATGCTTTGAAATAATAAAGAAAAAGTAACAAGATATCACTGAAAAATTTCAAATACATAAGGCATCTAAAAAGATTTGCGTCTGAGGGTCCTGTGAACAAAAATATTTTTATACAGGATTAGATGAATTGTTTACTTCTCTCTTTCATTTTGTCAGCAATTTGACATAACTATACATTTTGAGACAAATATTTAAAAGAAAGATGTTTTCTCTCACGTCATACTAATACAAAATTATGCTCCAGATCTGTGGTGAATTCAGTGGAAATATATTAGTTCATACCCCTTGAAAATTAAGGTGTTTTAATTCTACACAACATATTCGGATAGTGGTAAATGTTATTGTAAGCCAACTACCATTTAAA